TCGTCGTCGTGGTCTTGTTGTAGGCTCAACTTGATGCTTGATCCTGTACCTGACGAAGCGGTTGTATGAGAAGATACATACCGGCAGTAGTACCACCGCCATCACCATGGTCAGCATGTAGATGCTAGTCTTGAGATGGCGGGAGCTCCCGGAAGCATAGGCACCCATGAGAGCGTACATGCCCAACGCCATGCACGCGTGGAGCCGGTAGCCCCGTATCACTCGCCTGTACAGCTTTTGGTTCACGAGGAGTAGAATGACAGCCACCGACGCCATGAAGCTGACGGCGTTGCAGTAGAAAAAGGCACTGTAGCGGCGCGGGTAGTTGTCGAGCAGGACGGGGTAGCCCGCGCGGTGGCCAAGCTGCTCGTCATCCGCCGGCCAGAAGCCGCCAGGCGGGGACAGCCCGGCTTGGTACGTAAGTGCCGCGGCTAAGATGGCGATTAGACGCAGCACTTGACCATTGTCATCCAGCTGCTGGTTGCTGCTTCGTTCCCCAGCTACTCGCCTTGCAAAAGCAGGAGCAGATGTAGTAGCAGCAGGAACAGGAACAGGTTCAGCAACCACGTTCTCCTTCAGGCCTACCGCACAAACATGGACGGCGATGTAGATGAGGATAAGGCCAATCACGATGACAACATAGATGGACCTTTTTGCATCTCTGGTGCTCCCTGCGGCATAGGCGGTGACGAGGCAGATCAGGTCCAGCACCATGCATCCCTCCAAAGTGTGGAGCGTGAGCAGGAACTTGCTCTGTACCATCATGACCAGTACCAGAGATGTCACGAAAGCTGCGGAGTTGCTGTAGAAGAAAACCTGGTAGCGTGCATGATGTGTAGTCTGTAGCACAGGACGCCCAATCTCATGCCCATCCAGGTTGTCTTGCCAGAGGCCACCCGGTGGATCCATTCCTGCTTGGTAAGTGATGCATACCGCAAAACCAGCAAGTACCATAGCCAAATAGCAATTATTTTTGAAGACTGTGCTCGCAACTGCGCTGTCACCTGCATAATCAATCGGCCAATCATTCAATCAAGAACAATTCCAATTAAGCTGCTGTTGCTAATTGCAATTAATTAGATGTAGCTAGCTAATTCTCCAACAAAGAAATACTACAGTAGCAAAATCGAGAGTTTGCACAGTTACGAAAGCTGTTTTGTTAGCAAGAAAAATCAATAAATTGGCAAAAGCATATACCTGCGGGACTTGATTTCTTTGACCATTGGGAGAAATTGTCACGCACATTCCTGATTGGTTTCCAATGAAAGACATAATTAAGAGCCAGCTGCAGGCCCACCCAGGCAGGAATCACGGTGGACAGGGAGACGATGACCATTACGGTATTCTCCGTCTCCCTGGAGCTCCCAGTAGCATAGGCCCCCATGAGACCCAGGAGGGCGACCGCTATGAATCCGTAGATCCTGACAACCCGCGCTGAGATGATCCTGCTCACCTTGTTGGCCAGGAGCAGCAGGATGACGAGCAAGGAGGCGAGGAGCACCACGGTGTTGCATACAAAGAAGGCCCGGTACCTCCGGCGCCTGGTGTCCTCCATGATGGGGTTGCCGGCGAGGTGAAGAAGGCGGCCATCCTCCTTCTCATGCTGGGTGCTGCTCCAGAAGCCACCAGGCGGGTTCAGCCCGGTGGCATATGAGATGGTGAAGGTGAAGGTCGCCAGCAGTATCAACACCTCTACCTTCTTCTTTTCTTTGTAACCCTTGTTTGTGTTTATGGGGATGGGGGTGTTGTCGCGGCCCCTGTTCCAACTCCTGACGTAGCAAGGTATGAAAGCATACGCAATGTAGGCCAAAACTGCGAAGGCGAGCCCAGAGGCAAAGATGGTGGTGAAGGCGTCACGGCAGGTCCCGGCGGCGAAGGAACCAATGACGGAGAGCAGGTCGACCACCATGACCACCGGCAGCACCATTGTCCAGACCTTTCTGTTCCTCCGGAGCATCACGAGGATGAGGCAGACCATGACTGACGAGGCGAACGCCGTGGCATTAAAGGAGTATAAAATGCGATACCTACTGATGTCGGTGTACCGGAGGATCGGGTTGCCGGCGACGTGCCCGTCCTCCATCTGTTGCCAGTTTCCCCCCAGCAGGTTGAGCCCGGAGAGATACGTCACCGTCGTCACCAGAGAGGCCAGCAGCAGAAGTTGCTCATTCAGCTCGTACAACTTCGAGTCTGAATCCTTGTTGGACGTCCCCATTTGGTTTGTCTGTGTCGGCCCGTGTGGAGATGGGAGTGCCTTGTATTGCATATCATTAGGTTAGTTATATATACAAATATATGTACACTTTACTTATTTTTATAATATATATATATACTATCTACATATCTATTCCCTCCGTTCCAAATTACTCGTCGTGGTTTTAGTTCAAATTTGAACTAAAACCACGACGAGTAATTTGGAACGGGGGTAGTACTTGTGTAACCACTCGCATTAATTCAGACCTTATTAGTTATCTTAGTTGTCGATCTTCAGAGAAGTATTCTCTTTGTTTCTTTCTAGTCCACATAATATTTGTCTTAAGTGAAACGTCATAAAGTTTGATCACAATTATTGGAAAATATATCAACATTCACAATATTAAATCATATAATTGGATGCATCTTTGAATTACTTTTCAAATTGTATATCTCTTGTATTGTTAACGTTAATATTTTCTCCTAAACTGTGCCTTCTCATTAATACACTTCTTTCAAAAATATATTTCCACTTTGGTCAATAACCAGCTCACTTCAAATCATGCAAGATCCTTTTTACTCTATATGTTGAATATGACTGAAATTTATTGTTATATTCATACTTCATATGCTAATTGAAATCACTTTCACAATACTTGCATGATTTGTAGATTTGTTTTTTCTAGTTTGTTCGTGCGATCAGACCACTATACTTGCAAATGATTTATAGATAAATTTTTTTCTAGTTTGCTTGTGCGATCAGACCACTATACTTGCATGATTTATAGATTAGTGGGAGAAGTGTGGGGGAAGTGATAAACTAATCTATAAACCACGTGGTTTCAATTACAGATTAGGCTTTTCTAGTTTCTTCAAGATATTAATATATTTTTTACAGAGGCCCGGTGTAATTGGTATCTTCGTGATATTAGTATATTTCCTTTCTCGAAAAAAATGTGGTTTCAATTATAGATCAGTTTTTTCAAGTTTGTTCGTGCAATCAGACCACTATACATGCAATTTTAAGATTGACAGAAAATTAGCAACGTGAGCCACACATTCATGCGACTAGATTTGTTACTTGATGACATCGTATTTATTGTGATTTTTTTATAATAGACGCACATGCAGAACACATTGAACAGTGGCATGTACTTGGAAATTTTCTATGTGCTTTGAACAACCAGGGGATACACGAGACAATTCTGTTGCATCCAAAAGTATCTTATAAGGAGAAATGCACATAATGATCATACTCTATATGGGGTTAAAATTTCAACTCGAATTTATTTTCTATTTTTATCATCCTACATGCTCGAGGACGACCACCGGTTAATCCTGGAGATGTTGATACATGCGTCCAAAAGGTCATGTTTACTTGCCTATTTTATGTTTTACTTACAACTTTTGGACTAAAGAATATCCAACTAGGAAATTTAGATGATGTGGCAAGCAATTAAATGAAGAAAGGGAGGGTTTGTTATCATTATATGATACTATGTGTCATGCAAAAACAATAAATTAGCGAATATATGCTAGCAACCTATAATAATATGCACTAGGAATGTAGTATCGTACACTAATATCATATGCATGCATGATACTAGTATATGACAATCCGCACTACGAGAAGCCTCATGGTGTTGTTATCATGGTTGCACTTATTATGTAAAATGCTCTTTACTTTAATATTTTAATCATTGGCCCATTTAGATTAAAGAATAATTGTGGTAGGGATGTGTATTAGATGGAGTAGATCTTGATTTGTGAAGTATTACCAGTGATACAAAGGAGGAACAAAATTGATAGGCGCCTACATGTTGGGCCTGGTCTTCAACATTCATCCACCACATCACAAATTCACCTTAAGATATTTCAGTGAGGTGCCTTTTTAAATAAAATTCCCAGTTTGGGCTTTCTAGACTTTGAACTAATTGTGTTTATATTTATAGAAGATCATTTTTACATAAAATTTTGCAATATTGATTTTTGAAATGTTTTTATTATTTTGTGCTATATGTTTATGAACCTTCGAGAATAAATTTCATAATTTTGTGGATATTGTTTAATAAACTTGTTGACATAAGTGACATATGGTGGTGATTTTACTAGCATGCACCTGCCACATTATTGTGAAGTTCTTTGAAATGATCCAAACTTCCTCAAACTTCCTCAAGTGTGTTCAATCAATAGTTGACAGAAGAAAATAGGAATGTTGGTAATTTTAATATTAATATCGTCTCAAAATTTATAATTTTTTACAAAACTTGTATTCTAGTCTATGTGGAGTTATATAACAAAGAAATTGAATTGGTCCACGAAAAAAAGATCGCAGGAGGTTATCACTTCTTCCACGTGAAAGCACATACCGTAGCATCCTCCATGGTTATACCTAGACTGATCTCATCTTTCTTGGATTCTTTTTCCTCCGTGGAAATGTGCTCGAATTCTGCAAGTACGGTTCGTTACTAGTTACTACTACAGAATTCAGAGGTTGTTGTAATAGACAGAAAAAACGTAAGGTACAAATAATCTGGTAATATAACGGGTCTAAACGGGGTAATAAACCGGTAATAGAGGCAAATCATATATATTACCTGAAATAATTTTGAAACATTATATGCGCTAGGAAAATGTCCATCATAAGTAAAACCAATTTGATGGCACAATTCTGATATACAGCACACAAATTCTTATTTTGTGCCCCGCCAATTAGCGTGCATCATATCACACCGAACCTGACTAATCGATCAACCAAAATATTGTGATTGAGCAGAAAATATTTAATATATTTTTCATATACAAACTTTAATCGTAGGTTGTTTGTCTTAAATTGTTGTGCAAAAATTTATAATCCTCCATGAATAAGAAGGCCAAGAAGATTACTACAAAATCCTGGAAACTATGTCCTTAACGCACTAGTAGTGTGCAAATTATGGTCAAATTCTATTTTATGAGTTGGATTTAGCATAGAATTTACCTCAAGTTATCAAAAATCCTAGGTAGTGCATGCGCAAATTTACTCTTGACGGACTGAACCTATGCCCCTTAATGTTTTCATGACATCTCGATTTCTTTGTTACCTACCTGCGCCTTTCATTAGTTGCGCGAGAGCAGCTTAACAAGAATTTCCCCGACATTCTCAGTTATCTTATCAGGGTGAATATGGGGATAGTCGTGAGTTGTTTTTCCCAAAGCCTAGGAAGTGAGCAAAACCTTCATGGTGTGGACATAAAATTTATTGATCCCATTACACTAGTTCTAAACTTAACTCATAGGACCTTATAGTGCTTTTATCGTAAATTAATAGCAAAAGTTAAGTATGAGAACATGTCGTCCTAGCTATACTAAGGTGTTGCAATCCTCCATTTCGTAGCACTGATCCGGTCTTCAGATAAGGTTGGACCTCCAAGGTTAGTCATTGAGTGAGGGATGGTGTGAGTCATGTGTATCCTTCCAGCAGGGAAGCATGACCCTATTATTTCCAACCCCCTTGCCATCCTTTAGAAAGTGTCATGCCCAATAGGCTAGTTAAGGACCAAGAGGCACGCGCCCTCTTAGCCTTATATACCTCGGGAAGTGCGATCCCCATCCTGAGCTGATATACATACCCCATCGAGTTCTCTAGGTGTGCCTTGACTTTCCGCGATGCATCATCAGCAAGCCCCTCGGGTGGTGAATTTGGTCACATTATGCATAGAAAGTTCAACTGTCGAGTCAGTATAAACAACTTCCGTCTATGAACACATGACCTTCAGTACGGCTTGAATGGTAAATTTCGGTTGCATGGCGCGGCTAGAATTTAATCCCCAGTTTTACCTTATCCAAAGGCTCCATTTGCCACGCGTGTGTGCAAACTATATATTCAAAATTGCTATGTATATTTTCTCAATACTAACGATGAGGTGCTATGCTACTTTAAAATCTATAAGGTAGAAGTTAAGAATCCACTTGAAAATAAAATAAAAAGAGTCTGCTCTGATTACCGTGGAGAGTACCTTTAAAAATAAGTACAATTTATTCTGTGCAGAACATTTTATTATTCAAAATAAAAGCCTCCCAATTCAACCCAGTCAAACGGCCGGGGTTGCGAAAGGAAAATCCTTACTCCAACAGATTTGGTTACCGACCTGTTAGATATATCTATTTATGATAAGCAAGGTAGGAGAGGGAATATCGACATCATGTCATGTCCTGAATAAGGTTCCACAAGAATGACATTGTCGTACTTACACACTTGCGGCTATTTGGCCAAAGTCAACGTGCCCATACTAAAAGGACAAAGCTTGGACGAAAGACTGTGGACTGCGATTTTCTAGGCTATGCTGAGCATAGCGTTGGCTATAGATTTCTAGTGGTGAAAGCTGAGGTGCCTGACGTGAGGGTTGATGAAACTATGGAGTCTAAAGATGCTACATTATTTGAGGATATTTTTATATGGGAGCTATGCATAGCACTTCTAGAAAGAATTCTTACGGGACTCCTCAGCCTACCATTCCATTGGAAAATTATGAACGAAATCATGATGAAAATCCTGAGGAGGAAGGCAAGAAAGCCCCAACTAGTAGCAAGAGACAGATGACTTATAATTTATGTGGTGAGGATTTAATTATGTACCTCGTGAATGATATTCCCAATTCTATTTCAGAAAATTGTGCATCTCCAGGTCTTGTCTACTAGATGGAAGCAGTCTGTGGCGAGATGGATTCATCATGGCATGACATAGGAGACACTGACCGTCCTTATGGTAGTAAGCCTATGGGTAAAAAGAATCTTAGGCTGATGGCATTATTGAAAAGTACAAGTCTAGACTTGTGTCCAAGGGTCATACCCAGAAAGAAGGAGAAGATTCCTTTGATACTTACTCACCGGTGGCCAGACTGGCCAACATCCAATTGTTACTCATGTTTGTAGCCTTGCATGCTTTACACGCCCATCAAATGGACGTCATGGTGGCTTTCCTAAACAAGGAGCTAGGCGAGGAAACTGACATCCCATAACCAGTTGGCTTTGAAGTAGATGATCACGAAGGAAATATGTGCAAGTTACTTAAATCTCCGTATAGCCTGAAGCAAGCACCTAGGAAATAGCATGAGAAGTTTGATGAAACTTTAACATCGTGTTGGATTTGTTCTTAATGTGGGTGACAAATGTGTATATCGCCATGGTTGAGGCGAAAGAGTTATATCTTTTTTGTATGTCGACGACATATTCATATTTGGAACCAAACTTAAAGTCATTGCGGAGGTTAAGAGTTCCAAAACTTAAAGTCATTGAGGAGTTAAGACTTCTATATGTCATAACTTTGAGATAAAAGATCACGGTATGGCTGATGTTATCTTGAACATCATACTGTCGAGTGATAATGGGGGTGGATTTACACTTCTACAATCCCAGCATGTTGTAAACCTTCTCCAAGAACATATGATCCTAGTGTGAATTCCAAGGTTCGAAGGCACAACTACCTATCAGTTGAGATACTCTCAAGTAATTTGTCAACTTATCCGCTATGAGGGCTGACATTATGTTTGCTTTGAACAAAACTGAACCTTTTTTTCAATCTGATTGATGCATACAGGAATGAGGGAATTTCTGTCAGGCGCCATGGACAAATGCATGACAAAGGATGATACGACAAAGAGTGTCATAAAAGAATAAATTGGCAAAGTAGTTTTTAGCAGTCTACTTTTTGTCTGGCTAGCGGCAAAGCCTTTGTTCTCAGTGTTCCCCATCTGCCATCAGCTGTTGTAGGCCTACCGACAAAGAAAGCACTTGACTCCTTGGCACCCTAATAGAAGAGTTATGCGCTATCTGGGACATCACTATAACAGAGACACAATGGTACTTGAATGGTATAGTGATGTGAATTGGATATCTTGTACTGATGAGATGAAGGCCACAAGTGAATATGCGTTTACACTTGGAGGCGGTGTTGTTTCATGGATGTCTTGCAAGCAAACTATCTTAACGAAGTCATGGAAGAAAAAAGAACTCATAGCATTAGACAAATCCTATACGGAATAAGAATGACTTCGTGAGCTTCGGACTTTCCAGTGGTTGAAAAGCTAATTCAGGCTATCCTTAATAACTATGATAATTAGTCACTGTAAATTAGGAAAAAAATTCAAAAGGACATAATGCAATCCACAAAGAAGATAAGAATAAGGAATTATGTCAAATATCTAAGAAACACCGACGTGATAGCATTGGATTATATCGAGTCGGCAAAGAATCAGGCAGACCCCTTCACAAAAGGGCTATCACATGTTGTGATGGAAAAATGCATCGAGGGGAGGTGGGTGGGTGGTTGGGTGGGTATGAGACCACATGAATTTCCCTGGTAGTAACCCAATCTATGTGATCAGAAATCCTATGAAGCAAGACCACGGGAAACTACAAGTTAACTTTGGAGGGTAACCTTGCTAACCCACTCCTTTGGAGAGGTAGCACTCTCGCAATCCGTATGACAACTTGAATTTTTTCTTAATGTGTTCTAAGACTTGTATAAGCAAGATGCTACCCTATATATAGAGGAGTCTTTGGAAGATCAGACATATATGAGACTGATTGTTGGTCAAGTGTATGAGATAGAGTAATCTCTACATTGCTCACGAATAAGCCAGTAGCGTGACTAGTATGCTCCACCACCCAGGTTAGCCTTCGACAGCCTAGTACCAGTATGACAATTAGTTAAACTTCATTATGCCAAACGGAAAATACAAGGCAAAGTCCACTGTTCAGTTATGGATGAGTGTATCACTTTGCTCTAGGTGGATGTTCCATCCTAAGTGGTGTCCACTAAAAAAACTAGTATGTAAAAATAGTGTCCGGAATAGAGGACAACACCATAGGCCTCCAAGATTTGGTTCATGATTTTTTAATTATAGATGGGCTTAGGCCCATATACATAATAATTCTTGAAAAATCTCAAAGGACCATGTGTGGTTTCATGACACAATGGTGCAAAGTATAGTCTCACCTCATTACTAGAGGAGTGTTGAGCCCTTTTATAAGAGATTCTCTTCCACATGCTACTGAAGCTTAAAAAGAAAAGCGCAACACACGGGCTCCTCCTCCGCTGTCATGCCTCGCTCGCGCCCATCATGTTTTGTGAACGAGACGAGGCGAGCTCCAACCTAAGTCATGCTGGCCCTTAATCTTTTGCCGGTGAGTAATGAACAATCAATTGGAAATTACTTACGAGTCATTAACAGACATGCTACGAATCCGATACCTCAGATCATGGGTTGCTGCCGACTATGGCATGGGCTCAGCCCCACGTCTCGCCACCCGACCGCGCATATATTTGAGTCATTTTCAACCCTAGCCATCACCCAGATCAGATCTCATCTACTTAACCTCCCCGCGCACAACCCATCATATTTCCTCTCGCTATTGTTGCTTCCGGCGATCCCATCCTGTCTACCACGCGAACGGCTATACGAGAGAACGGGCCTCTGGAACTTTGTCCTTTGTAATCCTACACCGGGATAAGGGGAATTAGGTTTTTTTGGGAGTGCCTCAGCATGATTGCTCACTCCTATTGTCTTTGTCCTCTACTTGGACTAGTTCTCAGCCTCCCGAACAACATCATGTTTCACGAGACTGCCAACAAGTGTTCATCCCTCTCCTGTTCATTCCCGTGTTAGCGGTACTAGTTATATGATATTTAACCATCCCAAAATAAAGCTTTATAATGGCATTCGTAGTATATATATGCTCTATGCTTATTACCTGCTCAGAATGGTTAAATATCAACATGAGATTAATAATACTAATGCCATTATCAAGCTTTATTTCAGGATTAGATCAACCAGAAAATTGCTAATTATCCACCACTGCCCGCCTAGAATTGCCAAGATTCAGTGTACTCCCTCCATTCCCATATACAAGGCAGAAACTCATATTACAGGTACCAAGATAAAATTTAATGACTCCTTTGCAAGTCAACTTTTCTTTTTGTCAACCGGAATCATTAATACACCACAAGCATGCAACGAATGAATGGGAAGAAAGTGACCGAGTGTCGTTATGACTACATGCATGTAAGTATTAAAAAGTTGCTAGTACGAGGGAACATCCTTAATTTTTGCCTCGATTATTGTTGGTGGCCTTATATTGATGCAAAATGTATTTTTGATAGTGACCTTGTATAAGGGAATGGAGGGAGTACTTCCTCCCACGGATATCCTTTCTGTCCTAAACTTCTACAAATTACCCATCGCATAAAAATACAACAAAGAATATTCCTAGACTGGAAAATCAAAAGAAATTTGACCGTCAATAATTTGTAGGAAGAAACATGTGCATCGGTATGAACGCTGATATGCTGATAAAATACCTGGATCTTGCGGATGAGCAATAACGGAACCCGGCGGCGGAGAAGTCCTGAAGACAACAATCATTATGTGAAAACCCAGTCAAGCTCATATAGGCAGGGTAATAGGGTACACAGGAATGCCCGTTCATAGGCTAGGCTGAAGTAAAGAAATATTTGAAGATAGGGAAAAGAGATAGTAAAAGCAGAATTCCAGTTTTCAGCAATATATATTCAGTACCAGCTCTGAGCTTCTGTGTTATCATCTTCACGTGGGCCCTTTTCTTGAATTCCACGCTGGTCATTGAAGCCTTCCTCCGAGATGTCAGAAGTAATAAGGTGATCTTTTGGAAGCTTGCTAAATGTATCTTCCATTGCAGACTCTGTATGTGTCACTTTGTCTTCATCTTCCCCTAGATCCCAATTAACAGGTCAGGTAAGACACATGACACCCGTCGAATGGAAAATAAATAAATGGAAAGGCATGTTTGTCTCTTAGTATTGTGAAAACAGATTTTTTTTCAAAACTATGACGTATTTTGTAGCAATTTCGGAAACTATAGCACATAATGAAAAAAATGCAAAACTATGACCCTGTCGGCCACATGCAGGCCGAAAAGGTAGTTTTCGGCCAACTGTTGGCCGAAGTAGGGTTTTCGGCCTTGCCATGGCCGAAAAGTGGTTGAGCTGGCCGAAATGGCTGTTTTCGGCCGCTGTTTGGCCGAAAAGGTCTTTTTGGTCAAATGTAGGCCGAAATGTACTTTTTGGTCTACACTAGGCCGAAAAGTACATTTTGGTCTAGTGTAGGCCGAAAAGTCCCTTGGGCCCACCTTTCCGTTATCTGTTGGCCAATGTATTTTTCCACCAACCCCTTCCCGCCAACTCTTTCCCGCCAACCCCTTCTCGCAAACCCCTTTCTCCTCTGTACCTATAAAAAACCCTTCGGGCGGAGGTGGATAAGCATTCCAGTTTATTGTAGTCGAGATGTCCCATTATCCATTCGATCGTAGTTTTCACCCTGGGATTAGCAGGACTCTTCTGAGTCTAGTTACCGATTTCAGGATGAACAATAGGATAGTTCCATGGGACGAACTCACCGGTAGTGACACCATAATGAATGAGTTGGCTCACCAATTACGTAGGTCTGGGTGGCCTGAAAGGACCTATGAGGAGGTACGTAAAGAACTTCTTAGGTTGCATGAAAGGTGGAAGAAGGTGGTGGTGCCGAAGAGTGAAACTTTCAGAAGGCTTTCAGCAAATAATCCATCTTTATGGATTGAGGAGAGCCAGGACGAAGATGATATCTTCATGCCCCGCTTCTGGGTTCTGCATCGTCGAAGGGCAAGAGTTCTTCATCGTCCAAGGGCAAGAGTTCTCCATCCTCGAAGGGGCAATAGTTCTGCATCGACGGATGGCAAAAGGACCACATCATCGAAGGGCAAGAGGGCTGCATCAACGAAGGGGTTGGCGGGAAAATACATTGGCCAACAATTAACGGAAAAAGGTGGCCCAAGGGACTTTTCGGCCTAAACTTGACCAAAAAGTACTTTTCGGCCTACGATTGACCAACAAGTACTTTTCGGCCTACACTAGGCCAAAAAGTCCTTTTCGGCCAAAGGGTGGCCGAAAACACCCCTCTTCGGCCAGCTTTGCATCTTTTCGGCCAAGGCATGGCCGAAAACCCTATTTCGGCCTAGAGGTGGCCGAAAACACCCTTTTCGGCCAACACCTAGCTGACAGGGTGCTAGACTTGATATTTCTCCAAAGCATGCTGTAGTTTCCGAATTTGCTTCAAATAACGAGATAGTTTTGAAAAATATTGTGAAAACATAGGAGTAGAAAGAAAAGTAAGGACGTGATATAAATGCAGGTGGAAAATAGATTATAGGAAAAAACAAAAATTCTGTGAACTTATGCATTTGATTCAAATGAATAGGAAAACGTGCAAATCCTACTAAATGCAGTCCCATCAAAGTCATACCAAAGTGTAATTAGGATCCTATTATGCCACTAAAGACTCATGTCTCGTGCTTCTCCATAGGAATTATAGAAAGATGTTCAAGTGAATAGAAAAATTCCTGGGGCTTTCCCGTAAGTGGGATCAAATAAAAATATTTCCTCCACTTTTCTTTTGCTCCACTACTTTAAACCAAATGAAGTGTAGCGCTGCTAAGGGAGAACTTCCTGCTCCTACAGTATTTCTCTTGAATTGTATACGCCAGCAGCTCCCCTGACCAAAAATTTGAAGGAACACATAACATTCAAGACCTTACTATCTTGAAGCATCAATGCAATGTCCATTATCTATAATAGTTCAAAGGGCATCAAAATTTTGGACAACTGCTGGAGATACTATAATAAGTTGCAGCACTCTTTGCCAAGAAAGGCATAATCTACTCCATCCATCCAAATATATAGGGCCTAATATGTTTTCGCGGCTAACACTGACCACATGTTAGAGAAGTAATTTATGGCATTCAAGTTATACAAAACATACTGTCAAATTCTTATGTGAAAGGTGCTTCTAATGATATAAACATTATAGATCTCATATATTATTAATCTTATCAAAGGTCAAAGGCATCCTCAAAAAGCATATTAGACCCTATATATTTGGATGGAAGGTTGATAGACGCGATGATGTGGCATTTGATGGCAAGGAAACAGCTTCTACCATGCAGAACCCTTTACAAGGATACCGACGATGTTTTTTTATTAAGGGTACCAAGGATCGTTTTTAATGTAATTTTATTTAGTAGAAACTACGTAGGCTCACAGCCACTAAGAAAAAAAAAACAAAGTTAGATATCCTGGGGCACCTATCAGCCGGCTAACAGCAAACCTAACCCAAGAAGCTACAGCACGCCATCACCAGATGTCAAGTAAAAGGGATACCAATGATCGTATCCGTGCATGCATATCCGGCCCAAGGAAACATGCGAACTACTCCCTCCGTCCCAAAATAAATCTCTCAACTTTATAATAACTTTAATGTAATTGTAAAATTATATTAAAATCGAGACACTTATTTTAAAGTTATTATAAAATTGAGGCATTTATTTTGGGACGAAGGAAATATCTGTCTAAGCCGCATCTCCAGCCCAACCGCCGCCATGCACAACTTCGCAATGCGCTGGTGCCCCACATCCCTTCGTACCAGCCACCGCTGCACCTTCACTCCTCCTCCCTGTTCCACACGCCACGGCCACTGCTTGTTCCAGGAGCCAACACCGTCTTAGATGGTCAGATTGACATTGGGGAATAGAGGTCGTTCGTAGCCGGTATGACGCCGAGGACACCTGTCCCTAGTGGAACCATGTCGCGTTAAGCTGCCGGATGTTGAGTTGTACTATAGGCCTATTTTTTTTCATTTCCATTATTCTACTAGTGACGTGTGAGGCAAAGAGCTCGCCAGTAGTTCTCACTCATTATGACAGGTGTGCAGAGGCAAATCGCCGGTAGTTCCCATCATCATCTCTGGCGTGCGGGTGACATGCCACTTGCAACTACTTATCAGTGACGTGATATTAGTGGTGTGCCACCCTCAATCACTAATGAGCAAATTGACATGTCACTAGTAGGCTTTTTTGTTGTTGCTTTGAGACAGCATCCTCCCTCTTTAACTATAGATGGGCTTTAGGCCCATTTAAATAATAATTACTGAAAAGTCTAAGGCCATGTGGGGTGTCATGACATGGTAGTGGGAATTTTAGTGCCCCCTCGTGAGTGGAGGATAGTTAAGACCCCTTTATATAGGATTCTCTTTCACGTGCTATTGAAGCTTGAGAAGAGGAATGGTACACGGAAGCTTCTTCTCCGTTGTCTGCCACGCCTCGCTCACGCCCGTCGTTTTTCTTGAACGAGCCGAGTTGAGTACAAATTAATGTCATGCGTGCGGTTTATCCTTGCCGGTGAGGAAAAGTAATTTAACTAGGCAATTAATTATGAGTCATTAATGGGGGTGCTATGTATCAGATACGTCAGATCATGGATTATTGCCGACTTGGGCCTGGGCTCAGTCCCATATCTTCGTACCAAACCACCAATATATTGGGAGCGTCGGCGACCCTAGCCGTCACCTAGTTCAGACTGCATCTGCTCTACCTCTCACGCAAAACCCACCGTCGTTCCTCTCGCTGCATGTGCTTCCATCGATCACATCCCTTCCACCACATCCACAATTGTAATTGAGAGATGACATTCGGAACCCCGTCCTTTTGTTTTCCTGCACTGGGAGAATGCGACTAAGTTTTTGGGTAGCGTCTTGGTGCAACTACTTGTTGATGTTCGTCCTCTATTTCAACGATCTCCTTAGACTGCCCGACATCACAATGGTTGACGAGACCGCCAACAAGAGTGCTACTGAGAACACCTTTGTCGTCGCCGATCCAAAAACCTAATCATGTAGGAAATTTTCTATTCAAGGCTCTGATACAACATTGAAACCGTACTCATTTATGGGTGTCCAGTCCAATCATTGGCAGACCAAAACTACCTTGTGGTTCACAGCGATGAACGTGTTTTGGGTCGCTAGTGATACTCGTGAGGGAACAATTACTACTGGACAACAGAATGAGTTCAAAGAGGCTACTATTGTCTTTGTCGAAGCAGTTATGAGCATGATCAGAGCCAAGTTAGTTGACACATATCTCGATATGCAGGTTGCCAAGAACTTGTGGGATGTGCTCGAAGCAAAATTTGGCGCTACTGGTGCTAGAAGCGAGATCTATGTCATGGAGCTCCATGACTACAAGATGGTTGAGAACCGTCTTGTACTAAACTAGGCTAATGAGATAGAATGCATTGCTAAGGTGCTCACACATCTCAATTATATTTTAGTGCAAAAGTCTATCAGGTGATGCATAGTTGCTACACTCCGTCATTCTTGGAGGATCTTTGCTACTTCTTTGAAGCACCAAGATGTTGAGGATGTCATTGAGCACATGAGTGATGAAGAGAATTTGAGTGAAAAGGACTCACACGTTAAAGGAGGAGAGGGAATTTTAACCAACCTATATGATCCGTGATATCGTGAAGTAGGAACTGGGAAAACAAGCTACTGCTTAACTAAGGAGAGTAACCTTACAAACCAACTCTGTTGGAGATGTAGTACTCTCGCAATCGAGTGGCCAGTTAAGTTTCCTTGTAATGTGCTCTGAAGCTTGTATAAGCAAGATTCTATACTATAGAACAATGTTGGAAGAACACACATATATGAGCCCGACTGTTGGTCACAGTCTATGAGATAAGGTAATCTCTACTACGATCATGAATATGCCTGTAATGTCACTGATATGCATCATCTTTGGTGTTACCCTTCGGCAGCCTAGTATCGGTAAGACGTTCGGGGAACTTTATTATGCCTAACTGACAATTTAAGGGATAATCCAAAATACCGGTATATCAAAACTGTGTCTGAAATAGAGGACAACAATATACGCCTCTGAGATATGGTGGATGCCGTTGAATTATAGAAGGGCTTTAGGCCCACATAAATAATAATTCATGGAAAATCTCAAAGGCACACTTGGGGTGTCATGACATAGTGGTGTGAAGTTTAGTACCACCTCATGAGTGAAGGAGAGTTGAGACCCCTCTATAACGGATTCTTCACATGCTATTGAAACTTCAGACGGGGAGTGTTACATGCGGACTTCTCCTCCGCCATTCGCCTTGCCATGACAGGGCTTGACTACACGCGTTGTGTTTCATGAACGAGCCGAGCCGTGCTCGTACCTAAGTCATGTGTGCACTTAATTTTTGTTGTTTTTTGAGGAATGGATCATTGTTTTGCAATTAATTATGAGTCATTAACGGGTGCACTAAGAATCTTAGACGTCGAGTTGTGGGTTGTTGTCTACTTGGACGTGGGCTAAGACGCACGTCTACCTACCTGACCGCATATATATTGGAAGTGTCGGCAACGCCAGCTGTCACCCAGACCAGATCACATCTGCTCTATCTTTTCACGCCCAACCCACCGTCAATCCTCTCGCAGCTACTTCTTTCAGCTATCCTATCACATCCAGAACCGGGACTAAAGGCCGCGACCACGTGGAGCTCCACCTTTAGTCCCGGTTGGCTAAAGGAAATTTTATGATTTTTTTTGAATAATTTTTTATTTTCAAAATTTTGAATTATTTTAACCTCTAATCTCTAATCAGCACCCCTCATCACTGCTCAATTTATCCTCTAATCTCTAATCGCCCCTCATCATTCCAAATCATCTAACTTCCCGAACGGTCACCCATCCTCCCACTCCCCCAACCTGAGCACGCTTAACTTCCGGGTTCTATTCTCCCTCGTTTCCAAGTCTGCACTTGTTGTTTTCCTGACAATAGTAAGATGTCAATCTATTAACCCTCAGGAATTTTGCTTGAGCATGAAGTGACACATTTCACGGTTTGAGTTTGAAACTATTGTTTTAAAAAACAATAATTATTTAAAAAACAATAGTTATTTTGAATAATTAGTTTGACCATTTTTGACCAAAATTCAAAATAGCTGAAATAATTATTTAGTAACACTAATATTCTAGAATAATTAGTTTGACCATTGTTTGACCACAGTTTGAAATTTTTTCTATTTTTTCCACTCTAGATCTTAAAAGCCCCGTAACTTTTTGAGTAGATGATTTTTCATATAAAAAACTTTTTCATCCGAGTTAGTATGCAAAAGTTATGCCCATTTTTACAAATTCCAGAAAGATTTTACAAATAAAGTCGAAATACTAAAGGTCTCAACCCCATTAGCACCGGTTCGTGTCTCAAATCGGGACTAAAGGTCTAATCTTTAGTCCCGGTTTGAGGCACGAACCGGGACTAAAGGGCATCGCACCCTTTAGTCCCGGTTTGAGGCACAAACCGGGACTAAAGGGCGCAGGTGAACCGGGACTAATGCCTTAGCCGCACGAACCGGGACCAATGCTCACATTAGTCCCGGTTCGTGATTGAACCGGGACTAATGTGAATATTGGCCCGGAACCATAGCCTTGTTTTCTACTAGTGTGTGAAGTGTATCAAAGCGACTGCTTGCTCAGCGTGCTTGACATCACCATAGTTGATGAGGCCTTCAACAACAGTGCTTCTAATAACGCTTCTATATTCGCCGGAGCTTTGACCTGGTCGACCAGGGTACGATCTGTTCATCCCTCTCTAGTTTACTCATATATCACCATACTAGTTGTTTACATAGATAGATCTGCTCTATGCATAGTACGTTCTCAGATGGTTAAATACTAGTATTAGATTAATACTACCAATGTCATCATCTAGATTTATTTCTAGATTAAATCAATTTGAAAATTGCTAATTTATCCATCAATCCCCTGCTAGAATTGGCGAGATTCAGTGTATTTCTTCCCAGATATCCTTACTGCACTAACCCTCCTACAAATTACCCATGACCTGAAAACACCACTATGAGTGTTCCTAGACTGGAAAACAAAAGAAATTTTACTGTCAATAATTTGTAGGAAGAATCACGTGCATCGGTATAAACGTTGATATATTGATTAAAAAAAATACCTGGATCCTGTGGATGCGCAATAATGGAACTCGGCGGCGGAGAAGTCCTGAAGACAACAATCATTACGTGAAAATCTAGTCAAGTTCATGTAAGCAGGGTAATAGGTACACAGGAAAGTCAGTTCCTACGCTAGTCTCAAATAAAGAAATATTAGAAGATAGGGAAACGAGATAGTAGAAGCGGAGTGCCATTTGTCAGCCATATATATTCAGTACCAGCTATGAGCTTCTGTGTTATCATCTCCCCGTGGATCCTTTTCTTGAATTCCACGTTGCTCATGGAAGCCTTCCTTTAAGATGCCAGAAGTAATAAGGCGATCTTCTGTATGTGTAGACTCCAGTGCAGACTCTGTATGTGTCGCTTTATCTTCATCCTCCTCTAAATCCCAATTAACAGGTCAGGTGACACACATAGCATACTCGTCAAATGGGGAAAAGGTAAATGTGTGCTACATAAATGCATGTGCATGACAAATGATGGAAAACAGAGAAATTCTGTAAACATATGCATTTGGTTCAAATGAATAGGAAAACATACAAATCCTACTAAACACAGTCTAATAGAAGTCGTACCGAAGTGTAATTATGATGTTATTATATGCCACTAAAAACTCATTAGTCATGTCTCGTGCTTCTCCATAGAAATTCAAAGAAGATGTTCAAGTGAATCGAAAAAATCATGTGCTTTTGCTTTAAGTGAGATCAAATAAAAAAAATTCCTACACTTCTCTTTTGTTCCACTCCTTTGAACTAAATTAAGAATAGTGCTAAAAGAAAACTTCCTACTCCTACAGCTCTTCTCTATATTTTTCTATGAACCAAGCAAGTCTGAAATCCATTATACGAGCCAGCAAACTCATGACCCAACATTCAAAGGAATAAATAAGCTTCAAGACCTTACTATCTTGATGCATTAATGCAATGTCCATTATAACAAAAATGTGAATGACTATGGATGGTTTTGAACTACGCGACAGTATTTTGTCTAAAAGCAGAATGAAACAAGTATTACCTAAAATTTGCATAGGCGAAGAGGTGTCTGGTGTCACAACAGACCTGTTAACAAAAGAGCAACGCAGTTAAGGTAGGGAAAGAAGGGCAGTAGATTATTTGGCTAGAAATAACAGTTGTGCGTACCGGCTATCCAATGACATGGTGTTCACACACTCATCTTGCGTTTCTGTAGTCTGTTGTTCTTCCTCATATCCGACAGTGATCTTTTCATCAAAAGTCCTATCCACCGATTGAACGTTGAAGACAGGGCTACTTCGATGTGTTCTGAAGATGTCGATCAATAGGGCAGCTTCGCTCTCCATTTCACCATCACCACTGATCCCAATATTCGCAGATATCTCTTTAAGGCCTAACAAGTTGTCGATGCCGGCGTGTCGCAGGTCATGTTGCTCAGATTTGTTAGCATCGAACCTTAGCTTAAGCGTTTCTACTTTTGGCATTGCTCCTACAGCGAAGGCCAAGGATAGTGCAGCAGACGTGAATTTGAAAGTCCTGAGAAGTGCGAACCCCTCCTTGCCAAAGACGATTCTTTCTTTAGGGGCAACAAATACACAGATTGAGAGAGTAGTGAGGGCATGCAGTCCTTTAAGGATATCCATATTTTCCGTGGATGTCTCCCTAACTGCTACCTTCAAAATGCAGAGTTTCTGGAGATATCCGAACCACTTGGGGAGGCTTGGAAAGATGCAAGCCCGCGGGAACTCAAATCTTTCAAGAAGTGCCGGAGCACAGGATGCATTGCTCAAGGAGTCACAGGAAATGCTAAACTTTGAAGTGCCAGAGTCCATAATTAAAGATTTGAGTTCCTTGAACTCCCCAAGAATTGAGCTGAAATGCTTCATGTTTCCAACCAGACCGTCAGGCTTTACTGCAGAACATGTCACTCGAAGATCCCACAACTTTATCAGCTTGCCAAGCCCCAGCACATTTTCTGCTGAGTTAGAACATAGGCTAAAATCCCCCAGACTGCGAAGTGATGTCATGTGTACAATCCCATCAGGCAGATTAACCTGGCTTGGAAGGCAGAGGTGCAGTAGACTCTTCAGAGCAAAAATATCTGATGGAACAACAGATAGTGGAGCATCCACTTGTAGTGTTTCCATGTTTTGAAGCATCTGAACCTTGGCTGGAAGGCTGACGGTTATATTACTTTCAACCTTTAAATATTTCAACCGGAACAGTTCAGATATTGTAGTGAGGTCGAAAGTCTTGTCTTGATCCGCCCAGATGTGAAGATTCAGAACTCGAAGAAAGCCATAATCCCCAGTAGAAGGTGCGCATTCAAAAGATCCAAAATACAGAAGTGATCGAACATGGGAAGAAACCAAGTTTTCCGGTATATTTGCAACTTTTGCATCTCCAAATTGGACGGACAGTCGACGAACCATGTCAGCAAGGACTAGAGTTGATGGAAACTTGTCCACAGTAGTGATGAAGTTCTCCTCCATGGACTTGCACCTAATAAGATCCAGTACCATGTGGTGGACTGTACATGACAATACTTCGCCTTTATCATCGGTGTCTACAGCTTGGATCATTCCTCTACCAGCAAGCTCAGCAAAATAACCCTGAGCAACTCTGACTTTTTCTTCTACTTCATCTTCCTCTGTATCTTGCTGTTTTACTGCACCAATGAAACCTTCTTTTTTGCAAGTGACCCGAATAAAATCTTCTGATATCCACTGTCCCACGAGAACATCCTTCCAGACCGTGTATCCCTCTGGATACACATTAAAATAGAGCAAGCATGTCTTCAAGTGACGTGGAAGACTATTGTAAATAAGGTTTAGAACTTCTTCCATTACATCACAAGTAGGGTTTGCACTTAAAGTAGAGTCCAAAGAATATTTTATCTGCTCCCATTGCTCCATTATGAGGTTTGGTTCACTTATGCTGCCAATGTTCACAGTTGCTAATGGTAAGCCACCGGATGTGGTGATAACCCCATATGAAAGTTCTTCGAAATCTTGAGGAGAACCACACCCTGAGTCAGAAACTCCAGTGGAAAATAATTCTCGTGATTGATAATCAGTAACTGATCTCATCTTAAATATGTACTTTGACTGATAGCTACAGCAAGCCAATGCTGCATCCTCAATTTGTGTTGTGATGATTACTCTGCTGCAACAGTTGCCATCAGGAAAAGCACGCCTAACAGTATTCCATACTGATGGAGTCCATAACTCATCTATTATAACGAAGTACCTAGAAAATATATTTATGTTAGATTAAGACAACAGAAACAAATAGTAAAATAAATAAATTTGTTTGCAAGAGTCTTTTCAGTGGCCATGACCCGAATTTTAAACACCATACATTTAATAAAGTATAACTTATTTTATCATTACATTCCCATACAAATTTGTACTAAATCAGAGACAATTAATATGGATCGGAGGGAGTATATTAATTAGAATGGCTTCCATATTCGTACCCTCACTTTGGCCACTGATCGACTCTATTTTACAACGTCAAAATATGGCCACTCCATGGCTTCCATATTCGTTCCCTCGCTTTGGCCGCTGGTCGACTCTATTTTACACCTTCAAAATATGGCCACTCCGTTTTGCCCCTCTTCTTTTAAATCGCTGCTCAGTTTGTGTCGTTTCCATTAGGTCAAAGTGCTTTGACAACGTGTTTTCGATCAGAAATGCCCCTGAGTAACTAGCAGACCAGTTGCATCGCGTGTGTGGTGTGTTAGATGTGTATAGTTTATTATGTACATCCCCATTGTATAAGGGGCTTTTCTGCACTTTCTCACACATGTATATGTAATGGCACTTGGCCCTCAGGAAATACTAGTTGCTCACTTATCCAACATGGTATCAGATGCCAGGTTCCTCTTCCTCCCCCGCACGCTGCGGCTCCGTGCCTAGCCTCCTCGTCGCCGGCCCTCTCCTCCCCCGTCGTCGGCCACCTTCTCCGCGCCCGGCAGCTCCTGCCCGCGCCCGTGCTTCCGTGCCCAGCCACGTCTAGGCCCGGCCGTGTCCAGGCTGCGCCCCGGCCGCGCCCCGGCCGCGACCTCTCCATCCTGCTGTGGCCAGGCCGTGCCCCGGCCGCGTCGCCGCCCCTTCAACGCGCCCCCGCCGTGCCTCCAGCTGCGCGCGCCCAGGTCGCCCTCGCCTTCCCCCGCTGCCGTCGCATCTAGCTGGGGCGGCTGCTGCTTCACCTGCTGCCGCAGGTGCAGCCCCTTGGGCGGTCCTCCTCGCCTCCCAATCTTCCCGCTCGGTGCTGGCTCGAGCCAGCGTGAGGTTCTCAGCCCCGATCCAGATCGAGGGGCGTTGACCTTATCCAAAAAAAAGGCAAAAGAGAGGAAGAGTCGCACATAGTTTCTTCATGTCTTCTGCGGGCTATGTTGCTGTTCCTCGGTGCTCCGTGATCTTTAATGGCACCAACTACGCTGAGTTTGTGGGCTTCATGCGCATCCATATGCGGGGCCTTCTGCTGTGGGGCGTTCTCTCTGGCGAGGTTCCCTGTCCGCCCTGCCCGGTTGCTCCGGTGGCCCCTGTTCCGCCGGCACCGCCGATGCTTGCTGCTGAAGCTTCTCAGGCTGATCGGGATGCAGCCAAGGCTCTGGATGATGCTGCAGTTGACGCTTATGATCAGCAGGTATCCGCCTACTCTGCTGCTCTTTCTGTCTACCGGGATGATCTGTCCGCCTACACTCAGTGGTGCAATGATGATGCTCGAGCTGCTGCTGTTCTCACTGCGAGTGTCCTACCTCAGTTTTCTTCGGAGTTTATGGGTCTCAGCACTATTGCAGCAATGTGGTCCTATCTCTGTTAGCGCTATCAGCCCTCTGGCGATGCCCTCTACCTCTCTGTGGTGCGTCAGGAGCATGCTCTTCAGCAGGGTGACTTGTCTGTTGATGAGTTCTATTCTCAGTGTTCTGCCATCTGGCGTCAGCTTGACTCACTGAGGGCAGTTGTTTGTGGAACTTGTCGTTGCTGTCAGACTACGCAGTCTGATTTGGAGTTTCAGAGGGTTCACGAGTTCCTAGCTCGTCTCCGCTCTGAGTTTGAGCCCAGACGTG